ACCAAATCTACAGATCATAGGAATAGAGGAAGGAGAAGAATTTCAGGTTAATGGTGTTGACCAGATCTTACACAGGATTGTAGAAGAGAATTTCCTAAAATTAAGGAAAGACATCCCCATACAAATACAGGAAACACACAGAACAATAGAAAGGTTCAGAAAAGAAACTCCCCACAACATACTATAGTAAAAACACTAAATGTACAGAACAAAGAGAAAATACTGAAAGCAGCAAAAGAAAAACAAGTCACATACAAAGGAAAGCCCATCAGAATTACAGCTAACTTGTCAATGCAAATTATGAAAGCCAGAAGAGCCTGGACCAAGGTATTTCCAGTTCTGATCAAAGGAACAGTTAACCAAGAAGATACTACAATTCTTAACATACATGCACCAAATTCTGGTGTACCCAAATTCATAAAAGCAACACTATAGGACTTTAAGACACACATTAATCCCAATTCAGTAATAGTAGGGGATTTCAATACCCTACTGTCTCCATTAGACAGGTCAACTGGACAAAGAATAAACAGAGAAACATCTGAATTAAATGATATCATACATAAAATAGACCTAACAGACATCTTTCGAATATTCCACCCAAGCATTAAAGAACATACTTTCTACTCAGCGCCCCATGGGACTTTTTCAAAAATTGATCACATACTGGGCCACAAAACAAACCTCAACAAATAACAAAAAAAATTGAAATAATCCCATGCATTTTATCAGACCACAATGAAATAAAGCTCAAAATCAATACTGGACAAAGCCCTAGTCACTGTTAGGTTTCCAAACAGCAGCAGTTTCCCCCCTCCCCAACAAGGACCTCACCTTGACCTTTGAAATCAAGGGAAACAAACTCTGCTGAGAAGCATCCTGCCTTTCCTCTGCTCTCCAAAGATAGGATAAGCAGATTCCACCTGATAACCAGAGATTTTAGAAGCTGTTTTTCTCTTATCTTAAGAGGGAAAAAGTAAACACTTCCAGACCCTAATCCTACCTGCTTTTCCTGCTTCACCCTCCCTGATTTCTCCCCCAAACATTCCCCGCTTCCATACCCTAAAGCCCCCATATATACGGACATCTTTCCCTTCCCTGACATCCTTCCCCCCTTCCCCTTCCCCTTCCCTTCCCTGACATCTTTCCCTTCCCTGACATCTTTCCCTTCCCCGAGGGAAAGGTGCCCCGTGTGAAATAAATCTGTATGCCGCTGAGAATTCCATCTGTGCCTCGGTGCCTCCTCCACCCGCTCGTGCTCTCCACCGCTCGCTCTCTCCCAACATTTTTACCTATCAGTCACTACACAAACTTGTGGCAATTGAACAATACACTGCTAAACAACGGGTGAGTCAAAAGAGAAATTAAGAAAGAAATAAAAGAATTCCTAGAATTCAATGAAAAGGACAATACAACACAATATAACCTCTGGGAAACTTTAAAAAGCAGTCCTAAGAGGGAAGTTTATAGCTCTAAACGCCTACATTAAAAAAAATTAGAAAGAGCCCAAATAAATGACCTAACACTGCAACTCAAGACCCTGGAAAGGCAAGAACAAATGAAACCCAAACCCAGCAGAAGAGAAGCAAAAACAAAAATCAGAGCAGAAATTAATGAAATAGAAACAAAGAAAACAATACAAAGAATCAGTGAATCTAAGAGCTTGTTCTTTGAAAAGCTAAACAAGATAGACAGACCCTTAACCCAGTTCACCAAAAGATAGAGCACCTCCAAATCAACAAAATCAGAGATGAAAGGGGAAATATCACAACAGTCACCCAAAAGATTCAGACCATTATAAGGGAATATTTTAAAAACCTATATGCTACCAAATTTGAAAATCTAAAAGAAATGGATGGATAGCTAAAATCATGGGACACACCAAAGTTAAACCAAGAAGAGCTCAACAGTTTAAACAGACCGGTAACACATGAGGAAATTGAAACAGTAATACAAAGCTTCACAACTAAAAAAAGCCCAGGCCCAGAAGGATTTACAGCAGAATTCTACCAGACATTTAAGGAAGACCTCCAACCAATACTACTTAAATTATTCAAAAAGACGGAAACAAGCTGGGCGTGATGGCCCATGCCTATAGTCCCAGTACTCGGGAGGCAGAGGCAGGCGGATCTCTGTGAATTCAAGGCCAGCCTGGTCTACAGGGAGCCCCTGCTTCAAAAAGACAAAAAAAAAAGATAGAAACAGAGGGAGAAGTCCCAAATTCCTTCTATGAAGCCAGCATCACTCTAATACCCAAACTGAATAAAGACAAAAACCAAAAAAAAAAAAAAAAAAAAAAAAAGAAAACTAAGGAATTGACAATAGCAACAAATATGCATTCTAAGTGTACACACAAAAATTTCTAATAGAATATTCACTCAACATGGAACTTTTATTCAGAGTTTGAGATGACTAAATTAATATCAGATGGAAGGATTTATGCTTTTTTGTGAAAGGATTGTGTGTTTTAATGAATAATTGCTTCCAAACGGTTAAATTTTGGGTGAAAATAATGCGTT